GCCAGCTGTAATACTGTGGTGAGTTATCAATATGAGTGAACACTATAAAATTTTACAATTCTGAATAAACTGAGCAGCTCCATTTTGTGTTTGATTTTTGGTGGTGTGACCATTAGGGCATGAAAGCCGACCACTGGAGGCTCTGCCAAGTGATGCTACACTGACAAGAGCTGACTACACAGGTGTGGGAAGGGCTCTGTTTCCTGTTCAGCGCAGCCTACCAACCACTCAGTTCTCATGGAACTCATTATTTTATAAATGGCTTTAATAAAACCCTATATTAAGAATTCTCCTGAAACAATCATCTTAAAACCAACGAACATACAGCAAATGTCCTTAATGCTCTACTGTGTCCTCTGTTTAAGAAGGTAAATCTGAGTGACACTATCAGTTACAGTTAAAAATGTATTGAACATTATCTAGTGACTCATGTTTCTCACAGGAAATACTAGTATGTATCACAGCCTTGAGGCTATTAAAACCCTTATAAGCCTCATTATATTTTAGGTATTGATTACAGTCATCTGTCTATTTAATGAAATTTTGGGCATGTCTTGTAATTGCTTCATTAAATAAATCTGTTTAGTAGATGATTGTCATTATGGAAGACTCTTGCATGTATCATATTAAGCTAAACAGAATACATGCAATCATAACTTAGCTTGCACAAACACAAAGAAAATTAATCCTAATAAATGTTTTTTTTTTTTATTCAAAACTTGTTGCAGAAGGATCTCTACTAATTCCTAATAAAACCTCTTGCGATTTCAGAATACACACAGGTCAGACAGTGCACACACCCATACAGCAGCCCACCACAAGGTTTACAGGAAGGCTTGTCCATAACGACTGTCAGTGTAGAAACATGACTCAGAAGAAAGGGGTGCCACAGGTGACTAGCCACTCGCTATCTCACGAGCTCCACATCTTTGCTCATTTTTGGATTAGGCAGAGTGAAGCGCTACCAAGATGGTAACAGCCAGACTTGAGCTTCAAAACCGCCCTGTATATATGTACATATGTATGTAACATTTATGAACAATGCTTCTCCTCCTCCTTCTCCATCCCTCCCCACTACCCCTGATTGCTGTACTCTGCTGTTGCACATTGCCTGTTGCCAAAACAAGACCTTCCATTCTGGAGACAGATTCCTTGTGTGCACAACATACCTGGTGAATAAAGCTGACTCTCCCTCTCTCGTGTTTTGGCAACTCAAAGCTCTTGGGTAAGGCTTTGGACAGATCATAAATTTGGTTCAATATTGAGAAAACCCAACAATTACTTCAGTGTACACTACTTCTAACCAAAACCATGGTCCTTCCCAAATCTAAGACCACACTATTCATTATTTGACCAAGCATTTTGTCATTGTGGTGGCCCCTAGGGACAAAGCACATACAAAAGTGAAAGCACAAACATTACTGATGCATTGCCATAATGGACAGCAGCGGCTCATGTGACATCTATGTGTATCTCTGTGTCTATACGGTGACCAGCACTGACTCAAGTGACATCACGTGGTCATTTATCAGTCTTTGCACAGCTCCCTCTGGAATGATTTGGATGAACTGGCCCTTTAAAACAGAGGGAAGCTTATTCAAAGGTGATATCTCACTCAGAAAATACTGTCTGCAGAATTACTAGCAGATGCTTCTACATGTAGGATGGCGTAAGGAACAGTGACATTTTCCAAGCTGGAATTAATGCTCTTTAAAATAGTAAACAAAGCCAAGCGTCATCCCCTGTATTCTTCTCGTATATTCCTTCAGTATGCAGTTAGACAAACAGGATAATCTAAATCATCAACAATCAGTATTGTTGAACAAGAGGTCGATTCTACCCTGACTCACGTTAACTAGGTATTGATGTCTTGCTATTTACTGTAGCAGGTGGAAATGAATGTGCAAATCTGTCTCTTATTCTTTTCCTTTCAAAAGAACAGAGGTTGAATTTGTTCTTCACCCACATTTGGCACTTTGACACCCCGGAGTTGGTTGAGTATAATCCATACTTCCACTACATCAACAATGGGAAACACTTGATGCCAGTTAATCAGACTAAGCTCAGCTCACTCCAGCTCTGCTCCCACAGATTTATATGAATGTTCACATTGGCAATTATTTTGCAGTTCTCCAGTCAAAGCAACCATTCTGAGTGCACAATTTTAGCTGCTGGAGAAATCCCTTTGCAACAAATTGCCATGACTCTCTACTGCATTAATAATGCTGAAATTCCATAATTACATGCTACATTGTAGGATCAAATTCATATTAAGACAACTAGCTTCACTCACCAAGTCTATCCTTGCGCTACAGCTTAGTGGCTGAATGCTTCCACACGGTTTCCTTTAGTGGTAGGAGAAAAGTAAAGATGGGATATCCATGTTGGCCACATGTCCACTGCATGTCACAGCTGTTTTAACTCACTGAACCTTTTATGCTTAGCTTGCTGTCACTTCACTCAGCAAGCTGTGTGGTCAGGCTTCCTTTTTTAATGAACCAGCAGATAATGGTCTATGGGAACCTTGGAGAGACATGACACAAATTGTCACGTTCTCTGACTGGGATTTGTTGTAATTACTGTTTGCCTTAGCAGATCAATGGGATAGCAGCACGGCGTGTATAGGCCACCCTGTGTCACACTCTAGCTTGATACCAGCACTCATTAGGGCACAGCTGAAGAGAAGTAGGTTCCAATGGACTGGGTTTCCCACCATCAACTCCTCAGCTTATCTCAGTGGTGTTTCTGGTGTGACAAGGGAATAGTTTATCACATCTCAACCTTTTTCAGCCAAAATCTAATCACTTGGTGGGATGGTCCCCACCAATGTTTGTACCAAGGATACTGACAATCCATCCAGTCGTTTGTCCATAATCCTGCTAACCAACACACACACAAAGAACCAAAAACACAACCACCTTGATGGAGCTAACAATAGATTTGGTGTGACAATCACAGATTGGAGATCCTTTATAATTCTACAAACACATTTACGAGACACAGCTGTTTTGGAGGAAGTTTGTTGAGTCAAAAACGTCAGTGGCTAAAAATGTAGCCAAAACTTTTCCAGTATTTTACCAGAATTTTGTGAAAATTGAGACAAACATCTGATGACATTTTTCATTATATTACTAACAGTAATTTATAGGTCTTAGTGTGGGCATTCTTTCACCTGATGGAACAAAGTTTGGTTTTGTGGGATTTTAGGTGCACTATAATGGCAAACATTTTGCTACTAAGACTCAGACTGTAACACTGGAATTGCCCTTAAAATTGCACACTAAACATCTGTTTACCTTAATCTTTTTAATCTTTGTATTTTTGATTAAAGTGCATTAAAATCATGTAACCTCTAATGGCTTTTCTGCCTGCAGCATGAGGCAGTAAGACATCTTTGTTGAGTCATGTGAATTTTGTGCCCTCAAACCTCAATAAACACTGCCATAAAAGTCAAGTGAATATTCTGCATCACAACCTTCATGTCCTCTTTAATCTGCACTGTTGTTTTTGAGCCCACTCCTTCATCAGCCTGCCAGTTCTACAGTAGGAAACTCTGCAGTGAGGCCAGGGAGCACAGCGTCGCTCCGCTCACAGCAGAGATGCACTGTTGGTTAATGGCTGTGGTTTTGCTCTCATGGGTTTTTAATTAAAGCACCCAGATAGATAGATAGATAGATAAACACACACACAGAACCTGTGTCATGACACAGGGCAAGAAGAATGGGTTTTAATTGAGAGTGTGTGATATAAAGGGGACATACAAATGTAGTGCTCCTTTATGGTGTGACAGCATTGGCCTATGACCCCATTCTTGTCTCTGTCATCACCTCCCACTGTGTGAGAATGCATTTGGTTAGTTAATTACAACAGCACAATTCTGCAGTACAAGGAGATTCCTTAGGGAGCTGCAAGCTGAATAGGTATTTTATGGCCACGCAGAGGTCAGACTAAAAACTGCTAGAATTTTCACATTTTAAAACCATTTTTAACATTTAGACACTTTGAGCACATGGACCTTTTAATTGCAAAATTGAAATTGTGTAACAATAAACAGATACATTATGGATCTTTGCTCCAGACACTATGGAGGGCACTGTATTTTGAAATTATCAGAGTAACAAATGGTGAAAAATCTATGCCAAAAAAGGACAAATAAAACACTGAAGGTTCCTTCTAAAATATACTCATCAAACAACAGAAATTTAAAATGCAGCCTCTTCTTACATCGACTTAGTTCAAATAGAGGCCTGGCCTCTGGGATAAATGTATATGCTCCAGTCATTTTTTGGAGGATTTCTTTATATGCATCACTCTCCTTGAGCCAAGAAGTACACTTTTCTTGTCACACTATTCTGTTTCTTATTTGTTCAGGCTGTCATCACAATACCTGTCAGTCATCTTGATTAGCGATCTACCTTGACACTGTGTCCAGAGGCTGAGTTGACTAGCATCCGTAGATGATTTTAATGAGAAAAAGCTTCATAGCATAACATCTCTTTGCATATGTGAAAGGGAAAAACGAAATATTGTGACTGTTATGAAGAAGCAGGTGAACAAAAGCTGCACTGGATTCTCTAACCTGATGAATCTTCTGCTGCATGAGGCCCACATTAGAAAGGCTGCCCCTTGCAGATAGTTGGCTAGGAAAAGCTATTCAGATCATATTTCATTCAGTTTGGGCAGTTGCAGCACATAATCTTTGTGCTTTTAAGAGCTTGGCTCAACATGTAGAGAGGGAGAACGGCAACAGCGGTCACCCTTTTCATTCTCCTTCGGTGATTCAGATTAAAGACTTTATTGGTATGGCTTGCACAGGTTTCATTGTGTAAAGTAGTTCTGAGAACCTTTATTATTTTAAACAATGTAATGAGTAGGGGTGTGACAAGAGCTCATGCTACAAAATCTTGCAATATTAAAGTATGATGTTTTATGATATTTCTCAATACCATCAAGACGTGATAAGTTGACATGAGAGGCTTCATTCACATTTCCATTTTGTCAGCTTCATCCTGCAGTTCCAGTTTCATGAAGCACTGTGCAAGGCAGCCAACCACATCGGTCCTTTGCACACATGTGACATCTATCAATCAAAAGAAGCAGGCGCGATTTTAAAGTATGTGATTGGACCACTGTTCGTGAATAATACTTAATGGAAGCAGTAAAAATAATGTGTTTCATTTTTCCTCCTGCAGGAAAGTTCTTCAGGCTGGTTCTTCCACACCTTGGCCTATTGTGCTCCAGGAGGCTATAGGGACCAACAAGATGGATGCCAACTCACTGATGAAATACTTTGACCCTGTTATTCAGTGGCTGAAAGTTCAAAATGTGAATGAGACCTTGGGATGGCCTGACTTCAAGTGGGTCCCACCAATCCCTGAGGGCTACCCTGAAGATATTGGTAAGAGAGGGCTTTGAGCACACCCTACAGTACCAGTCAAAATCACTGGTAAACAAAGCAGAATAACTGAAGCTGAAATACATTAACAGAAGGAAGTAAAAACTATGGTAAAAATTCTTGGAATGTGTAGAAGATTTTCATGCACTCAAAGAGAAAAGTTCCATTTTCTTTTCCATGCAGAGCAAATGCCTAACAAAAGGAAGAACAAATTGTGGTGTTTACACTTTACAATAATATTTCTTGCATCATAATTTTGCTAAATGTGGTTTTTCTTACACAAATACATAGATCTTAATTTACAGTGCCTACCTGCATTTGAGCCAGTTTGTTGTTCTTCTCCAGGCAAAAATACAGAAGAGGTTGAGGCAAAGAAGCTTCTGGACGAGTACAACAGGACAGCTGAGGTGGTGTGGAATGCCTACACTGAGGCCTCCTGGACATACAACACTGACATCACCGAAAATAATAAGCAGAAGATGGTGAGACCCTCTGACTGACCGACTTCACAGAGATCAGTCTAACATTGCTTGAGCATCATCTGTCATCATTCGGGAGGCTGCTCAAATGTCTTGGTATGTTGAAGTGTAGGATTATGGCTCTTGTTACCATTGCTAACTCTGAGAGACGAGACAGTCCCAGTAACTTCAAAACAGTGCTGATTTATTCAAAGGATCACAGGTAAAATTAACATTACACGCTCAGGTATCTTCCACCTCCAAACTGCTCACAGACAGATGTAAGATGAAAGACCCTGAACCCACCAGGCCTATACATTATATCCCCTCGGTTGGGCTAGCCCCATACTACACAGAAAC